CTTTTTCAACTCTGCTCTTTACTCTGCTTTCCCTGTTTCCTCTGTTCTCCTCTCCTCATCTTCTCCTCAGACTATCCTCCTTTTGCTGTATCCTCTCCTCTCCTGTTCTCCTCTCCTCATACTCTCCTCCTTTTGCTGTCTCCTCTCCTCTGTTCTCCTCATCTCCTCTCCTCTCAGACTCTCCTCCTTTTGCTGTTAGATATTTAGACTGTAATGACAGCTTATGATATACTTTTTATAACTACATCAATCACATGCAATGGATTAAAAACGTTGTTTTACTTACCACCTTCTTTACAGCTCCATTCATCTCCAAGCTTCCAACATTCACCTGGCGGTGTGCCTTGGATGAAAACTACTTTTGATATGATACATACAACAACAATAGTTAACACCTATCCACAGCAATAAGCACAATGAGAAGACTAATGGTCTCTTTTATACCAATTTCTATTGGAGTAAAATGAACTGTGCCATGTCACATAGGATTGGAATGGATGATTGGCTGTGTTTTGTGAATATAGAGGAGATGGCAAAAGTAAATATACTTTGTTCTTACCTAAAGCATCTATCCTCCTCTTCGTACCCCTGCCTGCTCCTCCCGCATTAGACTCTGGGGACTTAGCTTTTAAAATCTTGTTCAAGCTGTCCACTCTGTAGTTGGATCTCATGAACTCAGCTTTATGACCCACCCGGCCTGAAAAAGGGTGTCTACGATGGCTGGTACTGAGAGGTGTTATGGTCCTCTTCTGCCTTTTGTTTTTGGGGGGCGTGAAGGTGAGAGGAAGACTACTGTCATGTGGGGTGTGTTGCTTTACGTCCTCCAAAAGATCATTTAGTCTTGATATCACTGTACACATGAACGTCTCATCCTGTAGGTGGTATGTGTGCTCAGTAATTTCCCGCAATAAGGTCCCACACTGCTGTCGTTTCCTATCTCTTGAGGACTTTGAGTGGTTACCACTGCTCTGATTACAACGAGAGTTAGAACGACGTCTCTTCTCGATCTTCCCGCGATCTTCCCGCGTCCCGCCCACCCCGACCCTTTCCGATTACAGCCGAGCCGCTCCGATTACAACGAGAGTTAGAACGAGAACGTGACGTCATATTTACATTAGACGGATCCTTTCTAGCCATAACCCAACATCAGGGCCAAAAAGTCTGAAAGCGAAAAAAAAAGATCTGAAAGCGAAAAAAAAGGTCTGAAAGTGAAAAACGATCTGAAGGTGAAAAGCAATGTGAAACCTGAAAAAACGAGATTTGAAACTGAAAAAAATAATTGTTTTGAATCTGAAAACGAAATATCTGCAACTGAAAAAAATAAGGATTCAAATATCAAAATATGTATAAAAGTGAAATCTGAAAATAAATATTTTATTCAAAAAAATTGCTGAACTGAATCAAAATAATATTCAACCTGAAAAATGATTTCAAATACTTATTTTTATTTTGAATACATCATTGTATTAAGTTCAGGATAAAAACTTGAACTTTCAAATAAATTGTATTTTTTTGAATGATCAAAACTTATGACCCTGAAATAGCTCCATAGTAGTGGTTAAAAACGTATTGATGAACTGATCATCATGTACTGTTAAAATTCAAGGTGAGGTTTGTTGTATATAAGACTATGGACTACGATATTTAGGTTGACCGTTTATTGAAGACGTTGTTGCATACGCTCCCATGACAACACCACAACAACACAACTGTATCCGGTTCACACATCCCAAAAACTCCCGGTGCCATCTTAAAGGCACAGTCACACCTGATGTGACACATACATAACAAGGTTGTTTGTGTTTCTAATTTGTGAATTGAATGGTGATTCATAAGCCAAAGCAAACACGAAGGAATGGATTAAAGTACAAACAAGGTAGGGTTTGGACCGGGAGGCAGATTACTCACTGAGTCATCAAATATTTTAGTTTAGCACAATATTTACTTTAAGTTAGTCATGTTGGAAGAAACCAGTGACATACATTTGTGCTGTTGAGTCATTGTTGTCTGCCACTTTGTCTGTGTCTCAGACAGCACAAATAGCATGGTGTGCTTTGCTATGAGTAAACAATTTTTCAGGGGTGTTTCAGCAACAGCATGAGCGATAAATAGTTTTTCAACATATCAATTTTATCATTGTTTAAAATGGACAACTGGACACAAAGCGTTGGTTATGCAATGACACACTTCAGTGATATAAATATCTCGAGGCATTCTGTCTATGTCTTTCTCCAGTCCAGTATGTTCGGTACATCTGAGCTGTTGCTGAAGTATCTTGTGCCCTCTCTCAAACTTTGACCTAGTTTTGGGAGGATTTCTAGGAAAGCAGAACAGCGTGCCACACTGTAACTTTGCAGTTTATAGGCATAAATGCTAGCTTGTCTACATTCTTTTTTGTTTTTATAAAGAAGTCTGACATGTGGCATGTGTACATATTATTGTAGCTTGTTCAAAGTCCGGACAGAGAGAGAAACCCTATCTGCACCTCCCAGCTGAGCCCCTATAGCGTCTATACTGTAAGAGCATGCAGGCAGTCATCCACACTCTGTGCTTTCTCCTGGCTAATTGAGTGCACTATTTGCTGTGCGTAATAATGCCTGGTTTTAGGTATTACCGTATTTTCAAATGCAAATATTCTAGATGTGTGCATGCATATTTGCTACCTCTGAGACATTTTAAAAAGTCAAGTTAAATGTGCTTAAGGATTCTTGGCTTCCCAACCGTTGTGGCTGACAGAATTCAAGAGGTTCAAGGCCCTAATGTTGTCTTGATGAAAAACATTTTCTATCTGGCTGGTTGAAATACAACAGCCCTGATTCCGATAAACCATCAGCCCTGATTCCCATAAACTGAATGTATACCATACGTTTAAATTGCACAAAAGATATCAGAAAGCAGCCAAATCTGTGCAGTTAACAAGTCAGCATTTCCTGTGAGGGGGGCCACACATGTACATGAACATTCCTCTGCCATGTGATGTGGGAGCATGACGCAGGGGGGTACAACCCTAGGCAACTTAGTCACGTGGAAAAAACATCATTCATACAGACTTTTGTGTTTTTAATTACAAATAAATATATATTTTCTTTAAATGTAAACAGTATAGAATTGCTTCTGAGAACCTTTTACCGGAAAGGTGATATATATCATGTGTGAGAAGTCGTCCCTAAGTTTTAAAAGCATCACATTCTTCTGGATTTTGTATACGTCTTTAAAAAAAAATGCAAGTATTCCTCTTAGAGCATCCAAAATCTTAAAACAGAGGTTGCAGGACTTTAATTCCATATAAAAACATGTGATGAGGAGTGTCTTTTATGTAGCTCGGCGAAGAAAATACTTTTGGTCTGGAGGTCTGATCCCTTCGCAGTTATGGAAAATGTTCAGAAGAGCAGCCTCAATAGAGAAGAGGTGCTCGTCTTTTACCTCGGGACAGTAGAGCCTCATAAACTCTGCCAGACGGAACAGGTATTCAATATTGTGGCCCGTGTTTCCTCTGCAGATGGCAATCCGGGCGGCGATCACCTCTTCTGAGGCCAGGCCGAGGTACATGGGGTTGTCAGGAGTAGCAATGTAGACCATGGCCAACAGAGCACCGTGACCCTCCTCCTTAGGGATGAACTCCACCATCTCTGTTTTGTAACCCCCCATCACAACCTCTCTCTTTTCCAGATACTGAAGGGAATCTTCCATTTGGGAGTCAGCCACCTCATAGGCCACTCCCCATGTGCAAGCCTGCAGGGAAAACAAGTGGAGGAGGAATATGAATGGCACATGAGTTTGATGTTTAATTAGTACGGAGCCCCCTAGGGGACATGGAAAAGAAAAAAAAAAAAATGTTGAACAAAAAAATAATAATTAAGTTTTGCGAGATCTCGCAAAACCTTTGCGAGATCTCGCAAAACCCCTTTGCGAGATCTCGCAATACTTTTGCGAGATTTCGCAAAAC